GTTTTTAAACAAAGGGTTATACAGCATTCCTTTGAAGAATGAGATGCCTAGATTTCCATAGTGTCCATCATTATAGGAGCTGGTTTCCTCATGGAAGCAGAATGATTCTTGTCATGCTTGATATAAGCCAGTGAGCCTGATACAACCCAAAGCTTTTACAAATCACAAAGCCTTTGTAATAGTCTGACCAGTGCTTTCTACCCTGTCTTTTTGGTGTTTGGGTTTTTCTGGCGTTTGGGGTTTTTTTAGCATGTGCTAAATATGTGCATTTGAAGTTTCACAGGTCCAGGATGATCAACAGAGTTGACTTCATAACTACAGTCTGGTCTTTCAACTGTGGCATTTGGGAATTCTTATTTTAAATGCACTATCAACAACAGTGGATTCCAAATCAATTTGAAACTGCTTTTTAAGTTCCAACACTTCCAAATTGCTTGCCCAATAATTGGCACTTGCTACTTGTTCTTACTGTAAAGCACATTGAAGATAATACTTTGCATGTTTTAGGATAAAACTAAACTGATTAGACAAAAACATTTTCAAGGAGATGAAAAAACTTTTTTTTTTTTAGCTAATTTTTAATTATTTTGTGAGAAAGGAAATGGCTGTATCTGATCATGTGTAGGTCCGTCGCAGAGGAAAAAGCTTCTGAGATAAAAAAATAAATTCTTCTATCTTGGCTTCCGAAAAAAATTGCTGCCTCTCCTTTTGAGATACGTGAAGTTTTGAAGTTTGTCGAGCTATTGTGTTCCATCTTTAAATCAGAGTTTTGTGAGGCATTCAGCAATTTTCTCTGCCTTTTAAATAGGTACGGAGAACATCTTCTCCCATGATTACTGAGAAGCAGGGATTAGGGATCATGTGGTACAAAAGATCCATTCATTGCGGAGAGATTAGATTTCACTGTAGGTGATTTCTGTAAGAATACGTTTTCTTAGATTAGGAATTTGCTTTACGGGAGAATAAACTGCAGATAATGATAATGAGATGCTTGCACGAGGCTGATAAATAGCAGTTTATGTTTATGTTTCATAGTTTCTTTAATCCCACTCAAGAAGGAATAAATTTTTTAAAAAGCATTCAGAAAACAGGTCGTAATATTTCTACGCTTTTGTCGGGAAAAATGTGTTTGTGTTTCATTTTGTTTCTCTGAATTGTTGAAAAATGGTACATTACAGTTTGTTGGGAATACAGTTCTATAGAATTCATTATGACTTAAGATGTTAATAGATTTCCTTAGGCAGAATCACAAAAAAAGGGATGTACTGATTCCTTTGCTTTTGAAAAAATCCACCTGTTCCCACTGCTGTTGCGGGACAGTTTTTACAGCTTTCCATGTTGCTGAGCATTTCTCTGTGTGGTCTGATGAGATCTGAAAATTTAGTGTTCTCTACATGTGACACCAAATGGACAACCTGTCTTGGGTTTTGACTTCTGATGTTTGACCGATAGAGATGATCTTTCAGAGCGTGCAGTCTTTGTACAGCGTGCGACGTAGGGTGAGCAGTGACCTCTGATGCTGGGCTGTGGAGAGTTAGGTGATTTCACGGGTTTAAGTGGGGAAGAGTACTAAGCACTGGTGTTTCTGTGAGGAAGTGGGAAGATGTTCTGTGTCACTTACCGGGGTTAAGGAATTTGATAAAGCGACAATGCGTATGGTGACTCAGCCTCCCAAAGTTGGGAGGTCGGCTTTTTGACTTAAATTTTGTTCCCAAGGATCTCAAGTGACAATCCTCTTACAATAAGTAGCCCTCAGAACAAAAGAAAAGCTCTATTAAAATTATGAGAGACTGGAAGGTAGGTAAGAAAAGTGTAATTACCGGAGCTGGAATTAGTCCAGGGTAGGAATTAATAATGCTGAAATAAATAAAAGGTTTAATTACCATTAGTCCACAGGGCATGAAATTTTACTCCTTTCAGTGGTACCACAGGTCCTTTAATTCTGTACTGGTGCTTTCTGAAATGACTGCAATGAACAACATAAATCCACAGGGTCATTTTTTACAGGTTTCTCAGCATATTTCTTTTCTTTTTAATTACAAAGGGTAAATAATGGAGCTGACTATGGACACATGCAAAGCCACTTGTATCAAGGGTATCAAAATACATTTAAATTCATACTTTCCCATGGCCCTTCTTCCAGAAAATACTCTGTAAGCAGCAGTTTCTGTAGTGGAGCTGCTTCATACTGATTTTCTCACAAAATCTTAGCAGTGTGCCGTAATTCACCTTCAGGTCCCTGTCTGATTCCATTACTGATCCTTTCTTAAATACAGATTGCTCATCTATCCAGATCAAATTCTGGTTTGGTTTAGTTTTTTTCCTGAAGAGGACAGTTGGAGCGAGTCCAGAGGAGGGCCACGGAGATGCTCAGAGGGCTGGAGCACCTCTCCTATGACGAAAGGCGGCGAGAACTGGGCTTGTTCAGCCTGGAGAAGAGGAGGCTCCGAGGAGACCTCATTGCAGCTTTCCAGTATCTGAAGGGGCTACAAGGGTACTGGGAGAGGACTTTTTACAAGGGCCTGTAGTGACAGGACAAGGGGTAATGGGTATAAATTGAAATCAGGGAGGTTTAGATTAGATATCAGGAAGAAATTCTTCCCAGAGAGGGTGGGGAGGCACTGGGACAGGTTGCCCAGAGAAGCTGTGGATGCCCCATCCCTGGATGTCTTCAAGGCCAGGCTGGATGAGGCTTGGAGCAACCTGATCTAGTGGAAGGTGTCCCTGCCCATGGCAGGGGGGTTGGAACTAGATGATCCTTAAGGTCCCTTCCAGCCCAAAACATTCTGTGATTCTATGATTCTATGAGTTACAATAGATAACCAGATAATCCCACCAACCTGATTTATCATGACAATCCAGTTTTACCATAGCTTTTGAGGAAGGCAGATTAATTCATTCACTTTGGTTTATCCTCTGTGGTTTTTTCTTTCTAATTTTTAACACTGTTTCCTACTGAGTAAGAAATTAGAGATATTTTTGTTAAGTGCAGTAATGGGAACACTTTCATTTACATAAGCAAAAGAAAAATCTGGTTTTTTCAATGTGTTTGCCGGTGCGATTGCTGTTTTTAGTACAGTCCTATCACCTCGCTATTTGTACGCTTTCTGGCTGTTCTGTTACGCTGTTGCTGTTCTGGGTTTCTATTAAAATGAAATGCGGGGTTTGTTTCATGTGTTTGCCTACAGTAGAGGAGAAGAATGCAGAGCTAAGTGCTTTGTCATGCCTATGGGAAGAATGTTTTTGAGTAGTTTTTGAAGTACATGTCACTGTTCAATTGCTCATTATCTTCAAATGGCTCCAAAAGCTACAAATAATTTGATATTCCAAGAGCATTTATTTTTATTGTGTCAATGCTTGAAATAGGCAGCTGCAAATGCTTCCTGTGCTTGAATCCAAAGAGCCTCTGCGGCGTGAGAGCTGATTTGATTTTGCTTGTGAAGCACGCGTTCTGTGGCCGATGCTTTTACAGTTTTCACCTGTTTTGATCTCATACGCTCAGGTAAGCTCTTTGGGCGGCTTGCCCAGGTGGGGTGCAGGCTGGTGTCGAGTGTTGTGCTGCACCCCTTCCCCAGCCTGGGCTGGCATCCTGGCCAGGCAGAGGTGTTTGTGCGCTGGCCACCGGTTTGGCAGTTGGCCCGTTCCCGACCAGGACACCCCGCTACGTGCCGGGGTGCTCCTTTGGGATGGACGGACTCTCCGGTAAGCTCTTTGGGCGGCTTGCCCAGGTGGGGTGCAGGCTGGTGTCGAGTGTTGTGCTGCACCCCTTCCCCAGCCTGGGCTGGCATCCTGGCCAGGCAGAGGTGTTTGTGCGCTGGCCACCGGTTTGGCAGTTGGCCCGTTCCCGACCAGGACACCCCGCTACGTGCCGGGGTGCTCCTTTGGGATGGACGGACTCTCCCTTGCTACATTCTGGCCAGGCAGATGTGTTTGTGTGCTGGACACCGGTTTGGCAGCTGGCCCGTTCCCGACCGGGACACCCCGCTACGTGCCGGGGTTCTCCTTTGGGATGGACGGACTCTCCCTTGCTACATCCCAGCTGCGACGCTTTGCTGGAGTCCACAACTGCAGGTGATCCGAAAGTCGGGCAGAACCTGGTGCAAGGTGACTAAGTAGCAATGGCCAAAGCCGCTTTGAACACCCAAATAAAGCCGCTTTCAACACCCAAATACCAACTTTCCGAGACCAGACGAGCTGGCTGTGTGGGATGTGCAGTGGCAGTGGGAGCAGGTACACTGTAAAAGATTGGGAGAGATCTGATACAAACAGTGTGTGCAAGGAAGGTTGGAAGAACTTGGCATCTGGACTAGGAGGAGTTAGGGAACGGGCTCCAGTGAAGCTTCCCAGGCGTTTATTTTGCTGCAGAAAAATTAATGGCATTTCTGCTAAGCCCCTTATCTGAGTTTTCACCAGAGTAAGGTAATGGAAGAGAGGCAGGAATGACAGGTAAACATCCTGCCTGGTTTTGGGTTGCTTTAGCAGTTTTGTAACCAATTACATTTACGTATCCTGTTCTCTATTCGTATGGTTGGAAAGA